GAAATTTTTATTAAAATTAATATCATAATTAATTTTGAATATAATATAAATTTTTATTAATATGAATGATTTCAAAATTTAATAAATTCTTATTTGAAATAATTTCCATTTTATGATTTATATTAATGATTTAATATATGTTATTTGATTTGAGAAAAAAATTTTATTTTAAAAAAATAAATCAATCAGATAATAAAATAACTCAAAAAATATATTTTTTTTATATTAGAAGCATGAATGCATTCGAATAAAAATAAAATGAATATTTTTTATACTTTTTTTTATACCTAACTTCAGTTCATGATAGTACAACAATATTTTATAGTCAAATTAAATTCTAGAAAAAAGTAAAGATTCAAAATTATTGATCTCGATAATTATTTTTTTATATTTTATATTCAAAATATAAATTTCTATAAATTATAGAATTTTAAATTCAATAAAGAGAGAACGATATGTTATTATTAAATAGAATATTCTAATTTTAAAAATCAATAAACATGTAATTTATGTGATTTGTTCTAAATTTCTTTATTAATAAGTATATGATTATTATATATATATGTATATATATACATATATATATATATAGATAATATATACATGTATAAAAAAGTAATCTACAAATATTTAAAATAAAAAAAGTAAAACGAATATATATTACATGAACATGTTTAGTAATAAAAAGAATAATTTACCACCAAGACCTCGTATTCCAAATTCTGAACATATGTTAGAAGATCTTAATAATTCTTCTATAGATGACATAGCATTTAAAATAATTCATAAAGGTATTATTTTTTGTCTTTATCATAAGTAATATTAAGAAAAAAAAAGTATAATATTTTAAATCATAACCTTATTTTAAGCTTAAATTAAATTTAATTAACCTCATTTTGTGACCAATTTCAAATTCTATATTATAATTTATTTTACAATTTATTAATTTATATAAAAATATAAATTTTTTTCAGATGAAATTTCTGGAGAAAATTTAATGAACGCAAATACTTCTGATACATATCAGAAAGTAAAAATGTATTTACACATAAAACAACAATTAAGATATTTGGAAACTACTCTTGAAGGCAAAGAACAACAACTTAAAACTGATAATGAAGAAATAAAAAGACTTGCAGATAATATTAAAGAACAAGCACAAGCTGCATTAATAACATAAGTATTTATATTTGCAAATAATATCGAAATTTGGTTAATTTCTTTTATAAAAAAATTTTAATGTAGAATTTTTCTTATCTTCATATATTAATTAATCATATAAAACAATTTTACTTATAATTAAATATTTTATTATATGTATATAGATAATATTTTTTATACAAAATATTAATGCTAATATAATATATACAAGTATAATTTAAAAACTTTACAAAAATAAATCTTATAATAATCATTCTCTGATGTTATTTCTATATATATATAATATATGTATATACAATAATTTAATATTCACATTTTAATATAATACATATTATATAATATAGTTTATAATAATAATATAATTGTAGTATTTTTTAAATTAATCTTATAATTTTTTTATAATTTTTATGTTAAATAAGATTGTTGTAATAGTAATTAAGAGGCATTTATAATAATACATTTGAATATAAATATTATTAATTTCTATTTTAATTTGAAAGTTTTATACTTCAAAAATTTAAAAATATTTGAATATG